AGAGAGAGAGAGAGAGAGAGAGAGAGAGAGAGAGAGAGAGAGAGAGAAAGAAAGAGAGTCCGAACCATCCAAAAAATGTTTTCACACTAAAAACAAACCAAATGTTTGATCGTTTTCATCGGACCTGTAGTTTTAGTTCAGATCACCTGGAAAACGAGGTGTGAAAGGGCCCTACATCACATGATCAAATCGCTCTAAATAAGATTATAATCTGAAAGGAAACAAGGAGACATGAACACAAAACACTGTCTTTCTCGCTCTGTCTCCACATGTTTGTCTGTCTCTTTCTCTATGTGTACACTTGTTTATTTTTTTGTCTCTCTCCACCTGTCTGTCTGTCCTACCTGGACCTCCAGCAGGTGAGACAGCTGCTGGGCCTTGTGATGTCTCTGACAGCTTCCTGCATTGGTGACGAAGACCACAGGAAACAGGAAGTTGTTGTTTCGGTCCAGAAGCTTCCAGAAGGCTCGTCGAGCAGCCGGAATCAACGAGCCGCCGCGAAGCAGTACTCCGTCCACGTCGAAGAGGATGCCCGCCTGATGGAGAAACAGACAGGTGAGAGAGAGAATATGCTGACTGTCATCAAGGTAATCAGGTAAAGAAAGCAGCACTTAATGAATAATCATAATAATAATATAAATAATATACATAATATATAATAATATAAATAATATATATATATAATATACATAAAAATAATAAATCTTATGTCATTACTACAAACATTACATCATTACAACCTGTGCCTTGCAACCTATTATTAAAACATATAAATATTAATAAAATGAAACATGACTGCAGAATGCTCCAACTGCAGTGGGTATTAATCCAACAAGACAAATATACTGACTTAATATATTAATATTATATACTATTATAATATAACATGTAATATATTATATATATTAAATATGTAATATTAGACCAGAGTTAAATATTAAATAATATCACATTAAGCCTTTCTCTATCTGGATAAAAAAAATAACATCATAGGGAGGACAGATTTAAGTGAACTATCCTTTTACTTTAAACTAAGATATTTTCAGGAAAATAACATCCAGATTATTATCTTTTAAAAACAAGATGTGTGACATAAATTATCATTTTTAATTCATGATTATTAAAGCAGCTCTAATTCGGTTGTAATTGTGTAATAACTTAACTTCTGTTGTAAATTAGACTTTTAGACAAATATTTTCAGACATCAATTATTTGGAAATCATGTCTCCATCACATTTACAACTTAATATTTTCATAGTTTTTTTCATAGTTTAATGTATTTGTAATAACTTCTGTAGATGTTTTAATAAACGTTCTGTCCAACCTGTTGCTAATTATAATAAAATCAAGTTTGTAAGTTCTTTAAAACTTTGTTCTGTAAATCAAACTAGTGTAAAGGTGATGATGAGCAGCTGAACGGTCAGTCAGGAGGAAACGTGACCAGGTTTGAACCCTAAAACTAAATGGGGACAATGAGCAGGTCCCCATATGGTAGAGGAGTCCCCTTAAAGTCAGCGGTCCCCACAACACACACACACACACACTGACCTGTCTGCTGGTCGATATGGATCTGACCGTCTGCTGCATGAAACCTCGACACCACATGATGCCTGTCTGTCGAATACGAGCCTTCTGCTGCTAACTTGTACTGACTGAGTTGTGACATCATCAGGGGGAGGGGCCTCACGGACACACACACAGTATCACACACTGATTGAATGTTCCTCACATGACATCACATGCAGCATTCAGCTGTTAATCAGCTGATCACATGCCGCAGAATGCTGCCACCAATCAACCAATCAGCATGCCAGACTGAAACCACATGAGGAGACAGACAGAGACACTCTGAGGACACCAACAGGGGAGGCCTCAAAGACAGACAGATAGACAGACACAGAGAGACAGAAAGACAGAGACGGAGAGACTGATAGACAGAGACAGGAGAGAGATAGAAAGATAGATAGACAGAAAGAGAGACAGACACATGGAGAGAGACAGAGACTGATAGATGGACAGAAAGATATACAGATAGACAGACAGTTTTGAGGCCACTGTCACGAACAAAACAATAAAATGTGTTTATTGTTGTTACCAATGAACATATTGTGATGTCATCTACTTTAAAAGGTGATGTCATCATGTGTCTCCAGGTTTTTTTTCCAGGTGTTCCGTTGCATGCGTTTTAAAAGTTTAGTAGTATACAGCCTTCAGTGTCCGTTAAACATTCAAACCGAACATCAGAACGGTTTATGTACCCTCTGGTGGAATCAACAAAAACACGACAAGAACAACAAACTGAGCTGAAGAACGTTTTAATAAGAAACAGGTAAAAAAATTTGCTGATATTTACATAATCAGACAGACGGGGTTTACAGTCAGACAGACGGGGTTTACAAACAGACAGACGGGGTTTACAGTCCCAGCAGAGTTCTGGCCGCCTGACTCTGAGCCTGAAGAGTCTCGCTGGCGTAACGCTGCAACAACTCCATCTTCTTCCTCCTGACGAGAGCCTCCTCCACCTGAAAGACAGAAAGTTGGGCATTTTAACATGGAGGTCTATAGGGATTGACTCGGTTCAGGAGGCAGCCTCAAGTGGTCATTTAAAGAACTGCAGTTTTTGACATTTCTCCGTTGGCTTCAAGTACAGCTGAACTAAAACTAAAAGTTGGGGAAAGTTGTGACCATAGACTGTATATAAGAAGTGGGCGTAGTCATCTTGACATCACCCATTGGTTTGTGACCTATCAATCACCGTGTAGCCCCGCCCCAAAGCATACCCTGCTTTATGGTCTATTTGACTCTAAATGGACCATAATTTACTAAATGAACATCATGCTGTATTGAAGAAGACTTGAAACTAGAGATTGAGACCATAAACTCATGTTTACAATGTTTACTGAGGTAATAAATCAAGAGAGAAGTAGAGTCATTTTCTCATAGACTTCTATACAACCAGAGGAGTCGCCCCCTGATGGTCAGTAGAGAGAATGCAAGTTTTAAGACTCTTCCACATTGACTACTCTGAACCGGAGGTTGCCGCCGGATTGTGACCAGAGAATATCATCAGCCAATCTGTAAACATGTTCCTGTGACACGTTGACCTGCGTTACAAAGATGTTCTTCCACACCTGAAATACATGAACATGCATCGCAACCACAGAAAAAAGTAATTACTGCGTCCAAAGAATTGTGAGGGTTTGGTTAAAAGACATCTAGAGGTTAGGATTATGGGGTCAGGTCCTGGATATGCATTATGTGAACAATGGTCCTCACATGTACACAAAGACAAACGTGTGTGTGTGTCTCACCTCTTTCTGTGAAGGAACAGGTACGTGTGCAATGAAGGTGACTCCGCCCTCTTCTCCCTCCTCCTCATCCCGACTCTCCTCATCATCAGGCTGCAAACACACACACAGAAAACACACACACACACACACACACACACACACCAGTGATAGGAAGTTACAATAGCTTCACCCACCACCCCAACTGTCTGTAAATCTGCTTAAAAAAAGTTGGATATGTGTGTGTGGGCACAATTCTACAGAACTCCTGGGATGTAAAGGGATGGCTCACCTCTTCCTTGTGGACCGTGTAGATGCTCTCCTCCTCCTCTTCCTCCAGTTGCTTGTCTCCTGACAGACGAGACTCTTTCTCTGTTTTCCACTTCTGCACTGTCTCCAACACAGCTTAACACACAACACGCCTCATTAGAATCGTTCATGTTCTCCTCAGGAGTCATTGTAATCATGTAATAAATGCCGATATTTTGTTGTATTATATAATCTCACTTTATACAAAATAAATTAATTTAAATGTATAAATAATCAAATAACCAAACCTTGTTTCTCGTACTGAGCCTCCAGAGGAAGCAGCACTCCGTCGTCTTCGTCTCTGTAGCCGTAATACTCTGCGTCCACTTCCTTCATCAGATCCGCCCTCGTCTTCCTCAGCGCCGGGGCAGCTGGGAGTCACATGATCAGAGAGGACCAATCAGACGACGGTACAGTGATGGTTTGATATGAAACAATACAGCAAAGACGAAGTTTACGTACGCTCCTTCTCAAACAGCTCTCTGACTCCAGGCAGGTCTCTGGCTGCTCCAAAGTATTTATATCCTCGATTCCCAGGAACCTCCTTCCCCTCATGGTCCAACATCCTCGGACCGACTCGCTGAAAACCATAGACCCGCCATCAATAACTCACAAATGTGCCATCGGTACCTCACAAAACGGCCATCAAACAATATCTCACAAACTTTTGTATATTTACCGCGTAGTCTGGTCCTCCCAGCTCTTTGATCCGGACCTCCCAGTGACCTTTCTCCCTAAGCAGCTTGTTGATCTCATCATTCAGATCCCGAATCTTGAACTCCCCGAGACCAGCTGCAGACAGACAGGTCAGAGTGTTTATAATCTGATCTGATATCTGTCACAGTTTATCAATGTGAATTAATGTTCTTTGTTTCATATTTTATATAAATACTCACCATTCTGGATCTGAGCCACCTTCTTTGAGATCTCACTAATGATCTGGAACACACACACACACACACACACACACACACACACACACACACACACACAC